GGACGCCGCAAGGCGACCGGCAACGCTTTCGTTATTATTTAAACAACACTATCATCTCAAGAAAGCGTTGCCAGCCGCCGTAAGGCGGCCGGATTTAAATATATAACCTAAACTAACTTATCACTTCTATATGTATATGGTTTTAATAATAATAAGTTTAATATTTTATCTCCTACTCAACTCGAGGCGATTAGAGGTGGGTACGTTAATCTAAATATTTACCAACGATAATAATTACTATAACATTTATTCATTTATATTTTCTGTTAAAGGATACATAATAGCACCGACGAGATACTGTTAAAGACTGCCATCCTTATGGGAGTTCGCGGCGGCGAAAAAGTTCGACGTTTTCTTACGCCCTCTAGAATATATTGCGATCGCAGTAAGAAACAGAACCAGAATCAGTGAGTTTACCAACGACGAGGTTCGGTGCTGAACTGTATTATGAGACATGAGATGATATTTTATCTGGTCGATGCTATTATTATTTCTTCGGTGATTCGAGTTAAGTTCGTTTTACAAACCTTTCGGAGATACTTTTTAAGACGTCAAATATTTTAAAGGAGGTAACTTAATAACCCTCTTTAGTTCATTGGAAATTATTTTTTTAATAAATGACGAACTCTAGTTCTAACTGTAAAGTATGTGTTTTTAAGGTAAATAAATATTCATTTAGAAAAAATGATGAATAGAAAAGAAGTTAGAAAAAAAATTATTTTCTTCTAATTTCATTTAGAAATCATTTAGAAATAAAAATGAATGAAAAATATTACATACGTTCTGTAGGATATAATCAATAATAATAATAATGTAATAATCATAATAATCATAATAATATAATAAGTAACAGGTGTCGAAAAGAAGAGAAATGTATTTCAATAAAATCTTTTATTTAATAGTAAGTAAAAGCTGGATAAGTGCAACAAAAGATTGGCAGGATAAGTGCAACATCGCTATCCTGTCCACTTGGGGGGATCCCCCTAGGCGAACCGAGGAAGCCGTGTAATGATCCGAACCGTAATATCGGTGTGACTAATACTAATTCAACGATAAAACTTTTTTATTTTTAACTTTTTCTTAATTAAATTTTTACTAACGCATTGGTGAGATTTTCCTGATTAAAATGATACCAAACACGATATAGTTTGAATTATATTTATTTATTTATTCAGAATATGCTGCGGTAATGCCACGAATGATCGGTAATGAGCAAGAGCCGTTATTCCATGTTTGATTGTGAGTCGAGCAACTCACGGTGCGATTGATAGCAAAAATTGTAAAAGTAACTAAGTCGCGGTATTTTCAGTGTTAGATTTGTATTCCACGAAAAAATAAATATCTAAAATTACCACAATAGTATATACAAATTTGTCCATTGCTTGACACAGTCTGCGACCTTTCAGAATATTTGAGGTCTGTTTTCTGTTATAATGTCTTGCCATAAAACTTTGAAAAAGAAAGGACAGTCAATGATGGGCCATGATGGGGTATGTGCGGGCAATGACGCACTCAGAATTTGTTCTTGGAGGGAGCTAAGTTGAACGAATAAAAATATTTTTAATACAAAAAACAGTGTTATTAATATGTGACAAATAGTAACACTAATTTAATTAGGAACAGATTTTGGAAAATTTTCTGTTGTTCTCCTTCCTTTTTCTGTGGGGGATGCTAGAGCCCCTTAGCCCCCCCCTTGAGTGCGCCAGTGTCAGCGCGGGGTATGCAAGAACGCGAACTTTCAAACGTTTGGGACGTTCGACTCTGTTCACCACATGGCAGAATAAGGGAATATACTAAGAGCTTAGTATGTCATTCTCTGTTAAAAATGCCGACTTCCGTTACCTGTGAAAAAGGTAAAAATGCCCACCTGTTAACAGTATGCTAAGAGACGAATCTCTGTTAACAGTTAAATAATATTTTTAGTTTAAGAATCATTATTTTATAAATATAACAGTAATTGTCGAATTATTTTTTATTTAATTCTTCTATTTTTTTTCACAATGTTACGTACCAAATATTCATACTTTTCATATATTTATTTAATATCGATTATTACAATAATTGTATTATTGTATTATAATAAAAATGTAATCCAATTATAAGGTAAAATATAATTGTTTTCCAAGCAGCACCGACGAGATAATTATTGTACTGTGACAAAGCTAAATCATCTCGTTGGTGGTATAATAGTTTTTTTTGGCGGTACAATGGATAATATCACTATTCTACATTATCCATCATTCCTATTTACCGATCGTACCCCAGGCCCACTGGGCCCACTTGGCGTGCCGCACTTTAACACAGGGGTTGGCAGTCTTTAACAGTATCTCGTCGGTGATAATAGACATTTCGAAAAATGCATCTAATCGTTCATGAAAATCGTATGCTTTTTTAAACTTAAATTCCACTAAATAATGGTTAAAATGGTACTCTTTACGACCATATTGTGGAATACCTCCATGAATATCTCTTCATAAGCGTTCTATGTTTTGGGTATGGATACCCGTACATATTTGGATCAACAAAATTTTTGAAAGGTTGACTACGCATTATTGGTATATTTTTTTGTCGATTTTGTCGAGAAATGTAATAGTGGTGGAGTAGACTTTGGTTTTCGTGGAAATACATTAGTCGTTTATGCGTTTTAATATTCAAAATAACTGCTATATTTTCGAAACGTTTTTGGTTAATAACTTTTTAATAAAAAACGAGCGACTGCTAAAACCTTCTGATGGTCACTCAGGAGGGTGACCTTGACAACATATGTCAAGGTCATGGTCATCGGAGGGGGGTCCGTATTACTAAATAATTACCACAAATAAGGTTACTTGTGATGAAAGATGAAAATAAAAAAAACAACTTCATAGAATTTAATGTATATTACGAAAATAAGTCGTTTTTGGAGCTTTTAAAGGCATGAGGGTAATATGGCTTCCTAAGGAAAATCACACAAAATCATTCTTTAGTAATATTTTGACACTAAAACTAGATAAATAAAATTAATTCTTTTTGTATACAAAGATTACACAAATGTTCTTTATTTTTGAATGTGTAACGTCCCGCTAAAAAGAGCCAGCACTTTTTTTCGTTTTTACTCTTTTATTATAATCAACTTTTTTAGTTTAAATTTATACAAATATGTTAATTTAATTTTCATTATAATCTCAGTTAAAATGTTTAGTTTAATTTGTATCATTTATTTGTAATAATAAAATAGTTTCATTAATGGATAATTCAGTCTAATAAATGGGTCGGTAAACGATTAGTCGGTAAGTCGGTCGGTAAATTAAATTATCGATAAATGATCGACATGCGAATACATATGCGTCAGCGCAACCCCGATGATCTCGCGGTGGGGTGAGATTCTAGAGTAGGGAGACCGCGTCGATTAGGGAGTAGGGGTGCTTGGGAGACACGTGCTGGGGAATTCCAGATATCAAAAGGAATTCTATATTGAAAAATAGCGCTAAGTCAGCAAAATCTGACTATAAATAGAGGCGTTCCACGCAGTGTAAGATCAGATCAGATCGTCTCCGACTTTGGTCGAATGCAGACAACACTCTGATAGTAGAGGAAAGCTCTGCGCTCAATTGCTTAGGCAACGATAAAGCGCAAGAGTAATCTAAATCCTTCTCTTTTCAGTGGTGACGTGCGAGACTTCGGATCTGTGGACACCCTACTCATGGTACGCAAGGTGTTGAACACGTGTTAGTGCAAAGCCAATACTCAAGTGTAAAGAGCTAGCGAGGAGCAGAGCTCCTTGAGCAGGCCTGTACTAGCATAGCTCTGGCTAGACCAGAAACCGATTGCGACCTGTAGGCTAGAGTCCGCTCGTGTCTGAGGGTACCGTACAAGCCACTGAAGTATAGTTTCCAATACTTAGCGTAGTTGGTGATTGTACAGAGTGTTGGCTGTATCCATAGATTAAGCCGCGATACTAATCACATATTTTCCACTGTATTTCTCATCTAGGGCGTACTCATTATAATTTCTTACTGTATTTCTTATCTAGCCCGCACACATTGTTATACTAGCATTATTATTTTCTTTTATAATTTAAAGAAGCATATTTAGTTATCAATCGTTTACTTACTTGAATAAACCATTAGTCTAGCACATTAATGTTCGGATTTTACTCCTCAACCGCACACCACACGAACCCATAATCCCTAATACTTGATACGAGTCGCCTTCTAAGGGAACCACTCTCCCTATACGTCAGTGCTGTGACTTACCTATTTCTGAGATGTTACATATTACATCAAAGCAAACAGGTACATGTTGTTTATGTAATATATACGAAAAACGTATATCCATATTTTTTAAAATAGGTAGTTAATTTATACTGAATCTTTTAGTGGACGGAACGTTAAGCAGTACCTATTTATTCAATTATTTTACTATATCCATGATTTGTAGATAGTCTAATAATAATATAATCTGTTCCAAAGATTAGTGCGTATTCACAAGATAATGTACTTGAATTTTCGTAAATTATTGTCCTTTCTACCATTGCTTAGCATCCTCGGTCTTTAGATTTGAAAGGCACATGTCACCAGAGGGAAATTTTCTCTTACAACGATGTGTTATCCCATTGTCCCAATCTTTCTGTACATTTTGGATAATATCTGCAGCGTTATGCCCGAAATTTTCATTATAGTCTCGCATAAAAAAGTTGAAAAATTACTCTTCACTATTTTCTTTCACGATTTCAACAAATTGTAATTTTTTAAAACGACGAAAGCACATATCTTAGTAAATTAATTTATATAACTTCTCGAAAAACCTCAAGTCATTTGGTCCAATTGTAAATGAAGTATTCTATTTTAAACGGTGTACGCAGACTTTTTGGACCCACTGGATTCAATCGAGAGTCACCTGAGATCGAATTCTCGCAGAGGCCAATCACACACAAACACATACATAACTCGCATAGACTACCGTTCGCACTTTCACCATTTATTGTAACGAACAAAACGTAGTAATAATGATATCAAGTGTTTATAATAATATCAGTTATTTATTTGAACTACGGGATTTCTCCATGTTGGGGAGATTTCGACGATACATTACTTCTTTCTTACCTTTTCAACTCTGATCCATACTACCACCCCATCTTCCCAAACCACGTTTTTAATAACTTTTTGTAAAATTAGCATTGCGTCAAACTGGTTGAATTTTTACCTTAAACAGTCACTGATACATTATCTTAGATTTATGTGCTACCATTTTCAACTTTTGTTCATGGGATTTTTACATTTTTAATGTAGAAATAAAAGTAGTCCATATTCGCACCTTCTTCCCTACAAATATAAGTTTTTCCAAATAATGTATCGTCATATGAAAGTAATTCAAGGAAGACAGCAATTGTTAACGTAGCTTTATGGTAAAACCGGACATCTTTAAATCAGCCCTTTACTTCCGCAATCAATCTAATAGTGAAGTCACAACACGCAGTTGTAGTCACGAAAGCGTCACAGATTTGATAGGCATTACCTTGATTTTGGCTTCCATAAACTTCACCCGGAAACCCGCATGATATCTCCTAACTTGAAACCATTTAAGTGAAAACTTCGAAATCATTGAAGTTTGAAGTTAATTTTATTTATTTTCACAATATTAAACACGATACAAATAGATAAATATATTAGAATCAGAAATCAGAAAAACACGTCTACATACTTCGGAAGCAAGAAGGCGGAATGTAGAAGAAGAGCTTTAAACAAAAGAATTAACAAACAAGAGAAATTATTTCTAGGGAATACAAACATTTTAAAAATAAATAAAACTATATAGAATCTTTTAACTTTATATTAAATAAATAATATAAATACTAATTTAACTTACAATCTTCACTATGTCAGCCCAACGCATATATAACTTTTAAAATCTGACGTTTATTTCAACAAAGTTAATACCGTTCCTGCTCGCTTAACAGTACATAACTGAAAAATTAACCAAATCTGATTTTTTAGTATCGAGTAACTCTTAATTTTATATTTAAAAATGTACAGTAATAACAGTATTTACATTATAACGTAATTTTCGAAATAAAGAATGCAAAAGAAATAATTTTTCTCATCGCCTAAATCATTAAAAAAATTAGTAAGTAATTTTTCACAATAGCTAGTAATTTGTTAAAATAAATTTTTATCATAAATTTGTTTTATGGTATTTTTACACTTAACTGATTAGAAATTGGTTCCTTCGTCGTAACTATTTTGAATCTATAATTGTGTACCACAAAATAGTAAAAATATATTATTTTTCTCATCTAGTATATTTCCAAAAAGTTATTTATTTCCACTGATGCCTTCACTGATCAGTGCTGAAGGAGTAATTTTGGTTTAATAAAGTTATTTAAAAAAGGGTAAATATGCAGATTACTGGATCTACCCCTGATTACATTGACCTTGAAATTTGTTATCAAGGACATGATTTTGAGAAAAATCATATTTTCATATTTTGAGAAAATATTTGATGTTAAAGTTTAATTCAAAACGATAATTTGATTTATGTTGCATTGTGCAACTGAAATAAAATTATGGTTTTAAATCAAAATCAGGTTTCGGTTAGGTTGTATTTTCTGAAAGTACAGTTCCTCCATAAAGAAGAAAGGAAGGGGGATAAAACCTACTACGTCCATGCATATATTATCATTTTACAATGCGAAGTGATGTATATCCCATCCTACATTTTCCTACAATTAGTCTCTTTACATTAGATAAATAAAATGTTCGCTTTTATTATATTCTGCTAATTTTAAACTTTACGTTGTACACTTATAACGTTACTTCATGAATTTATCTACCTAACATACAATTTCGAAAATCTTTCAAATTATCCCAAAGATACCAACCTAACCAATTTCGATAAATATGCAAATTGCTGATGTCACTTTCAACTTCAAATATCTCAAAAAACTATAAGAGACTGCTGGATAAAAATCATTACGGTAAGTTACTTGGCATCAGCCTCCTTGACAACGTATCTGAAGATCAATGCAATTGAAGGTGGCTCCAGTAATATGTATATTTATAAAAGAAAAATTATAAAAATGATTTGATAGGTGCGAGACTCGGTCCTTCTAAGTTTCAGAGATTAGATCCTGTATTACATTCAACTGAAGTATTTTAAATTTACGTTTTTTATCTACGTTAAATCTGTCACATAGGTCTCTGATGCAATTAATCGGCTTTTAAGAGGTCGACTGAGCAGAATGTGAAAGAGAAGAAGAGATAAAGTGAAAAATCTTAACTTAATTACTTAATAATATAATCAGGACGAAAGTGACTAGTGAAAAAACTTTGCTCTTGTAGCCGGAAGAGGTGCTTGCGTTTCAACCTGGCTCGTCTCTGGGACGATTGTAAACAGATATTTTCTTGGTTGATTCACAGATTGAAGGGCGCAGGCGTCGTCTGGTTGGCGGCAAAGCGTCGGAACGCTCGGCTTATGCCAGTCAGTTGACGTAGCCGCGTCGTTCACGAAACACTATGCTCCCGATTCTCGCGATCCCGGTTTTCTGCATCGTGGCATGGGTATCCGCGCTGAACGATCCGTTGTCAGGTAAATCGAGTTATCATCCGATTAGCTGAACCTTTTGCCCTCGGTTTTCCGGTGAGACTAGATCTTTGTTTTGTTGAAACGTGTCACTATACAGGTGTTTCCTTTTCATTGTTAAACGCTGTTTGACAGCTTTCAATGGAATTGATATTAATATATTTTTGTTTGGTGTTCATGATTTCAAAACTCTCCTGTCGTTGTGCGGATGTTATCAATTTTTAAACAACCAAGTTGTGGTGTGCTTACATCAGAATTCTGCCACTGATTCTATCTGGTTTGATACCCGAGTTTCAGTAGGTGGTTTTGTTTAGTGCTTCGAAAATTGTACGTCTTCATCAGCAACGTAATTGTACGTAGCAAAGTGTGATATTCGTCTCATTTTTTTCTCATTTCATACTGCAATATAATCTCTCTTGCGAATGGTCACTGTATAATGATTGCAAACTTTTATTAATTCAATTCACAAGTCCAAAACGTTACGATCGTAATACTTGTTCTAAATGAAAAAAAAGAAAAGAAAATGAAAGAAAACTAGGAACCAGTGCTATGCAATGTATAACGTGCATTTTTAATATCAGGTAGATCCCCCTTCCATCTGATACATAAATTATTTGTTTATGATATCACTTGAAGGAGTTATTAGTGTAGTTACATTTGTTAACCCTTGGACAACGGGCCATGGAGAAAGCCACAATTTTAATTTAATTTTGTATTTCACAATATTTTCGTTTTCTAAATTTTACACTGCTCTTTTAAAATTATTCTTCTAATATACGGAAACGTTAAAAATTATACAGTTAACTTCAGGTTAATATCCTTGTTTGGATCACGAGTGGCCCAGACTGAACTGTTCAAGGGTTAAACGTAACTCGGGAAAAATAGTGAAATCATTAGGATGTGTTATTTTTATATGATATTGAAATGCAGTGAAAGTTATATCAATATGATAATAAGGTGTTTAAATCTTTCTCTCATCAACATGCTTAGTATGTTGCTTGATCACTATTTACTAATCTGGCAACTGGTATTTTTTATAGTTTTCGTGTTAGTATTATCTCATCTCTCAAGAAAACTTTCTGCAGGTGTGTTTCAGACTTCCGGATATTTTTTTCTCATTAATCACAATTTGTCCGCGGGGAATTTAGATTTCATTGTAGTTATTCTAAATAAGCTTTACGTACTTTTCTTGCATGGGTGAGCGACCATTATCATGGATCATTCTAGTTACTACCAGACGATAGAAGTCACGTACATAAGATTCCAGATATTTTTTAAATATGACGATTTTCGAGCGACACTGTATGTGGGTCATCGTATCTGATTCAGTTGCTGAATTCCATGCAGTCTCTTATTCTAATGATTCTTCGTCAATTCTCTAATTCTGGCAGTTTTGTCTTACTCTATTATTATGATAGTTTTACCCTGGGAAATTATTTAACTTTCAAAGCATAATAGAAGGTTTTGAGAAGAATTATAAAAAATAAAAAATCTTTTAATTCTGTTTTAAAGAATTTGATTTTGTTTATTATTAACACGTTCAACCAATTTCAAGTACAAGCTACTTGATTCTCCCTTTTTGTTGCAATATTGTATACATACTACTATTTTAAACAACTGTGTATATAGTTGGTGTGTTTTCGAAATTGAATTTTCCGGAAATGAAGACTGACGTAAAAAACTTCTTTCACGTTCTTACAGGTACTGTTTGCATGCATTATATTATTTCTCTTTATAAGAATCACAATTCTGTAAGACAAATACGTATTTTGTATGTCACTATGAAATTTACAAATTTTTATTGTATTCTTTAACATGTTCATTTAATACTTCAATGATAAACATAAATACAGGGTAACATTAATGTATAATATTGCATGTATTTTCATGTGTATAACATGATAAAAAAATGTTCTTATAGTCCATTACATCTTATTTAGAGTTGCATAATTTTAATTAAAAAAACAATAAATAAGTACCATACATATGGTATTATTTAGAAGCATATTTATCATTGAAATAATGAGAAATAATTTAAATTAAATCAGAACAATCTATTTCCATTTTCTAAATTTTACACTTTCTTTAAAAATTATTCTAATAATATGTGAAACTCTTTCGTTTAACAATCATACATTTAATTTTAAGTTAATATACTTATATATATTTTGCTAGTTTGGATCGCGATTGACCCTGGTTTCGTTGTTCAGAGTTAATTTAATTTAATTACTAACAAACTAGCATAAATTATTTTTACCTATTCCAATAATAAATTATACCTTTGCTTCAAAATCACCCAAGTTCTAAGCATATGAAAACTTTTAACCGACTGTATATCTATATTTCTCGCTCTTATTGTTCTGAAGGTGTTGCATTAAAGAAATTAGTATAGTCGCAGCAAATAATCATAGGTTATTTGGAAACGTCGCTTATCAAATACGTAACCGTTTTATTATTTCTTAGAAAAAGAATGGTTACCCGTGACACGCGTGATAGCACTCTAGAGAGGTGATCGAAATCTTATCGACACGCTGAATCTCTTTAATCGCCACCCCCGTTTTAGTGCTTCATATATAGTTGCATAAAATGCGCGTCGGTACGGATTCGCGCACGACGTTGCGGAATCGTGTTGTAAATTTAGTTTTCCATCGATCGAAAACGATTCCACTGTTCTCGAAACAATCTTTCCCTTCCCATTTTCAATCGTGATATTTCATCAAGATGGAAGGTAGTTCAATGAAAGGAAATAAATTATTCTTTCTCAAGGTAATCAGAATATTATCAATTTTCACTTATTGTTAGAGAAGTGATCAGATATTAGAAATGAAAGAAGGTATGATATTTTTAGTTAATTGTCTGACTTCTATAGTACTGAATATTAATGTACTATTGACCTAGTAATGTACTATTTTTAAACAGGAATAATTTCCTTCTCGATTATGAATTACGAAACTTAATACCTTTCTACACGTGTAAATATTAACCATTTTTCCTCGTAAAGATTTCACCGATAACCTAAATATCCTAATTATAGAACCAATTAAATTTTTATAATGCAAAGAAATTCTGCTCCATTTTTTGAGCAGTATTTTTTATTACCCATTGAACACTTGCAAACTTACAAATAAGATGATCTTTTAGCGATCAATGAAGAATATTTTGATCATCAGTTTTAGGGGATACGAGTATCCGAAAATTTGGTTAGGGCGAAATCTTGAAAGTTTCTTGAATACATCAATTTGTTCCGGTACCTATAATTTCGAAACTCGAACTTGGCTCGAGACCCGAAATTCAATTACATTTGATTATACACGATAACATAAAAACACTTTTAAACTGAAAAATTTATAATAAGTCTGAAAAATCATGCCTCTCGCATGAGTGTCCGGCTGCGAGAGGATCACCCTGTATAGTGTCGGCTCCTGGATTGCGTTTGAGTTCCGGGTTCATTACGGGTACCCGAACAAATTTTTGTGCTAGAAAAACATTCGAAGTCTCATGTGACTCGATTCGAATGTTATCGAACCCAATTCGAAGCTGATATCCACATACTTCTATTTAGTCGGCAAATATAAAGTCATCGTTTCTGCGATACTGTTCTGTATGCAAGTAGATGCATCTTCGAGATTTTGTTGCATTACATGATTGAACTTGTTTTGATACCTTTTGAAGAATATGTTAATGACTTTGAAGGTATAAAAGATGACAGGTAAAATGAATTTCTGTTCATTAGATGTCTCTATGGGGAAAGACGAACTTAGATTCGTGGTAAAGGTACATTCAAATGGAAACGTGCAAAGTCAGCATTGTGCGAGCCGCGCTCTTTCTTTCCTTATCCTTCTATTCTGCGCCCCTTTTCTCAGCCCCCTCGCCGCGCGAATCATGGCAAGTATAAATTATCACGGCGGAAGTTAGTCCAACGAACTCTCCTTATCCTTTTGCGTGATAATAATTACTCTCTCTTTCTCGACCAGTCGAGTGGAAATAGGTTCTTTAGTCGTCTGACGGGACACTTCGTAGATCGTGCGGGAGATCCCTCGTCTATTCGCACCGAAACAATTATTTCTACGTCTATCGAGGCGAGGATGCATGCGCTTGTTACGATTTAAATAGCAAATTCAAAAGTCGTAATTAGTCGGATCGATCTGCGGAACATTGACACTGTTTCGTCAAGAATTGATCTTATTTCTACAGGGTGGCTCGTAAGTCGGGAACAGTTTAAATAATTATTCATTTTCTTTATTGTTAATATTATTTATTCATTTTTGGTTAATTATGAGGTATTATGAGCTTCCAGTTACTTAACTTTTTTTTTAAACAGACATGGCAACTTCAATTAATAAAATAATTTTTATTGTTATTGTATCTCGTGCAACTTTATAAATATACAGAAGCGTAGGAAAATATATAAATTTAAAATAGTAATTAAGACGACGTAATACTAAAGGCACTGAATTAATTTGTGAATCTGAAAATAGTTTTCTTTATCTACACAATATAAATAGTATAATTTTTAATATAAAATATGAATTTCTTTATAAGTTATAGATTATTATTATTTAGGTTTTTTGATATTGCATATAAAGCTGTCAACGGAAGTGGAAAAAATTTTAAATCGAACTGATATACTATCCACTGATATAACGCAATGCACCTGTTGTGCTTTTGGGATTTGTACAGATTACTTAAATCTGCCTCTAATACCTTTAAAATTCATTATAGAATTATCCAAATTGGCTGTTACATCTTCAAATTGAAATAAAGTCCGCACTGTTTGAAATTTGTCAGTTTTCTTTTTTTTAAATGAGATCTATTTTACGACATTAACTCTCGGACGACGGACCATAGGAGGAACCATAATAATAATGTAATTGTGTATTCTATTTTGTTTTCATTTTTTAAATTTTATATCGTTCCTCTAAAAATTACTTTTACAATATATGAAACTCTTTCATTTTTAAGTTATTCATTTGACTTTAGATTAATATCCTTGTATATATCTTGTA